ATATATTTAATTGTACAAGTTTAATATTTGAATATATGAACGTAGGAAATGTCGTCATCAGACGACGAAAGTCTCCCGGGGGAGTGCAGCTGGTGCCACGACGATCGAGGTCTGTGCGACATGCCTCACCTGGACGATGATCGGCGCTTCAGCATTAAGCTCGAGGAGACCTTCGATGTTGAAACGGCACGCAACGACGACACGTGTTTTTTCATAATTAAGCATGACTACAACTATTTCAACATGTAATTCTCATATTTTACAATTCGAGTAGCTTATCCCATGCCATGCAATGCACTATGTCTTGGAGAGGATGGGTTTTGAAGACCATGAAAGTTTTGAAACAAAGAAAATTCACCTAAGGACTCATCACGATGTGGATTTTGAAGTAAAGTTGTACAATTCTGAGAGCGTAACCCATTTTGGTTGCAAAAATTGGAAAGCACTTTGCAAGATGTATGGTTTTGACGAGGGTATGCTTGTCACCATGGATCTTGGTTGAAAGAACATGCGGTGCCCCCATGTTTGGTTTTGGTAATTGATGACAATCTCTATGGACTAATGGTTGCCTTGAGTTATATTTGAAGGTTTTGTCCATAGGCTTTTCTTGGAGTACATGTGTTGGTTTCAAGGAGAGTTTGTGTCGACCAAGGTGTTATTCAAGGAATTATCCAAAGATTGGTCATGTGAGAGTTGAGCTTATTGCAAGCATGTCTTGAAGAAGAAGATTGTGTGATCATTCATGTCTACCTTCAAGACATCATTCAAATGAAGAGAATTGGAAAGGTTCAAGGATGATCAAGACTAAGTCAAGAGTGAATCAAGTTGATCAACTCACAAAGCGCAGAAGATGTACCGAGAGGGATCAAGTGGAGCATCACGAAGAGATCAAATGCTTGAAGCTTGCCGTCCTTTGTGGTGATAATGGACTTGTGAAGATGTGCGGAAGAGTGGCTCACCCATAGTGGAGTATGGGGGAGCAATCAACTAGTCTTCATCGAGTCAACACAATCAAGAAAGGTGGTCCAACTTGAGGGAGTCAAGATCGTCATCATCTAGCTCAAGTGGACCATCTGCAAGGCAAAGGTTTGCCCTTGATGGTTTTTCTATTTTACCGATCTCATGATGGTAGTTGGGAGACCGGGTTATAGGATCGATTGCCGTACTATCAAGGGGGGCTCTTGATGAGTAGCTTGATCGTATCGTTCGTAGAGAGCTCAAACCATTGCATCCTTGCATCATCTTTGTGAGTCTTAGAGCTTATGGTCATCTTGATGACAAGCTTGAGTTCATCGAAAACGGAGTTCGCATGCATCTTCTATGATGTTTTCGATGTTGGAGGTTTTGCCGATTCTTCTCGGTTGGAAGTTTCACTCCTCTTTTTGTTAGGCATACCTCCCCTGCCTCTTCTTACTATTACCAGTCGATGTTTTGATGCTACTCGTCGTCTTGTTTCCAACAAGCTTGAGTTTGCTCAATTCGGAGCTCATAGGCATTTTTTTCATCGCCAGTTGCCGCCCGACGACGCCGACCCTCCTCGATGCCGCCAGGCTGCGCCGCCCTTCCCTGAGCCTGCACGCCCCCTAGTACCTCGGTAGTACCACGAGCCCCAGCGGTAGTACCGCTTGGAGCTCTCAGCCGTTGTACCGCTGCTTCCGGGCGGTGGTACCGCCATCTTGCTCAGCAAAGACTTGGGCGGTTGTTCCGGCCAGGCACCGCCCAAGTACCGGTCAGGCCTCTGTTTTGATGCGGTACTCGGGCGGTGGTGGCCCGGTTGGTCCGGTCGTACCGGTACCACCGGTGTCCGGAGCGGTTCTACCGCTCAGGACTTAGCCGCCCGAGCGCTCAAGGCCATGCGGTTGCACCGGCCCGGTACCGCTCGACTACCGCACTCAGGGGTGACTCCCTTCTGTTCCTATGCGGTGGTTGAGCGGTGGTTGGGCGGTTGCTCCGGTTGTTATTCTCAACCGGTGCTACCGCCTGGTCTCCCGGTTGTACCGCCTGGTAGGGTTCTGCACGTATACTATGAGTCCCGGTTGTACCGGGACCAGGAGCGGTAGTACCGCTCGTGTGCGGGCTGAGCACATAACGGTTGGATTTCCCCCCTCCTATAAAAGGGGGTCTTCTTCCCCAATGAACCCTATCTCTTGAGCTCGTTTTTGCCCCCATTGTTGACCTTCTTTGAGCTTGCTAACTCTCAATCCCTCCATGGATTCTTGCTAGTTTTTGAGGGAAAAGAGAGAGGAGATCTAGATCCACATTTCCACCAATCACTTTCTCCTCTATGTGAGGGGAATCCCTTGGATCTAGATCTTGGAGTTCTTGGTGTTCTCCGTCTTGTTCTTCCTCTCATTTTCCTCCCTAGCATTAGTTGCTCCGGTGGGATTTGCGAGAGAAGGACTTGGGCACTCCGTGTGCCCTTGCCATTGCATTTGGTGCATCGGTTTGAGTTCTCCACGTGATACGTGGAAGTTACAAGTTGAGAAGCTTATTACTCTTGGGTGCTTGGTACCCTTGAGCTTGTTCTTCTTGGGTGCTTGGGCGCCCTATACGGTTGTTGGTGTTCGGAGCTTAATCATTGTGGTGCAAAGCTCCGGGCAAGCGTCGGGGTCTCCAATTAGGTTGTGGAGATCGCCCCGAGCAATTTGACGGGTACCGGTGACCGCCCCCAAGGGTTGCCAAAGTGTACGGGTTCGGTGACCGCCCCCAAGGGTTGCCATTTGTACGGGTTCGGTGACCGCCCTCAAGGGTCCCTTAGTGGAATCACGGCATCTTGCATTGTGCGAGAGCGTGAGGAGATTACGGTGGCCCTAGTGGCTTCTTGGGGAGCATTGTGCCTCCACACCGCTCCAAACGGAGATTAGCATCCGCAAGGGTGTGAACTTCGGGATACATCATCGTCTCCTCGTGCCTCGGTTATCTCTTACCCGAGCCCTTTACTTATGCACTTTACTTTGTGATAGCCTTATTGTTTCTTGTCATATATCTTGCTATCACATAGTTGCTTATCTTTCTTAGCATAAGTTGTTGGTGCACATAGGTGAGCCTAATTGTTTTAGGTTTTGTGCTTGGCAAATTAACCGCTAGGTTTATTCCACATTTGTTCAAGCCTAAACCATAATTATTTTAAAACGCCTATTCACCCCCCCCCCCTCTAGGCGACTTCCACGATCTTTCAGGTGTCCATTGTGGGCTTTGGTGGCTTGGGTAAAACTACACTTGCCAAACAAGTGTATGAAAAGATTGGAGGGCAATTTGACTGCAAGGCATTTATTTCAGTCTCACAAAAGCCTGACATGCCAAGTCTTCTCAATGGTCTAGGATTGGACCTTGGACTTGGAATAGGGGAGGACTCTCGTGCTCGCGAGGTGCCATACATCATACGCCGTCTCAGAGAATATCTCACACATAAGAGGTAATTATTTACTTCGATCTGACAGTTCGATGTACACTTTTGTATGATCTAGTTCTGTATAATGGCTTTGTGATTAACTAGGGTTATACATTTGATATTAATATATTGCCTATTATTCTAAACAAATCAACATTCATCTTGCTTTTGGCATGGCTTAGTAGTTGTCTTAGCATGTTTGAACAATGGGGTCTTATCTTGACTCATAATATTGCATCAAGATAATACAACCAAATAAGCACACAAACAACCTCTACATAGTTAGGATGTACAAAACCACATGAATGCATGCGCGCACACACATGAAAAAACAACTGCCGGTAGAAAAGTTAAGCCAGACTGCAGAAGAAGATACAAATAAGTTAAACAACTGTCAATGCGGCCACCCATGTGGGTTTAAAACATCCCAGGTCACCTGCTTCAGTTGTGTACACACCATCTTAATTAAATGGCTGTCAGTGTCCCCGTCAAGATAGAGTAGAAGAAGAATAGAACCAATGCGCATATCGGTAGATAACCTGCTGTCGAGAGGAGTTTTACCCTTCAAAACCAAATAATTGGTAAACTAAATCAGTCGCATACATAGCCAAGGAGACCACATCAAGGCTGACGCACCCACCCTTATGATCATGCTAAGCTTGTGGGGTATACAATCAAGCCAGTTACCAAACATGTTGGCGATATGAGGTCAATAGAAATTAGACAATACTTGGATAAACAAATGGAGTTTGAAGAGTATATACACAATCAACTCTGATGTTGTACATGTAGAAAAAAAACTCTGAAGTTGTACAATATACAAAAACTTCCGTCATATATTTTATGGTACAATGGAGTAAAGTTGCACTGTATCATTCTAAAGTTTGTGTCGGTAGTTTGTAAGTACATGTGTTTGCATATAAATAACCGTCAAAAATCAGGCGAAGTTATACACTCTTAGGGCCTGTTCGGCAACTCTCCCGCGTAGAAATCTTCAAATCCAGCTTCTGGATCTCACTTCCAGCTTCCCAACGAAAATCGTGGATTGGAAACACCGTTCGGCTAAAGAACTCACAGATCCTCCTGGGCTTGTAGCTGGCTGGCCCATTAAGCTCGTTTCTGGCCTGGTAGGGAGGGAAGGCAGTCGTTGCGGTATTTTCTTAGCTTGACGAAACGTTTCTTCCACTTTGTGGTGGTAGCTCGCCATAAATAACTCGAACTCCTACTTTTCGATTTATGGGATCCACAAAACACCAGCTCCCAGTTTTTGTACTACGACCCGTCTCAGATCCATGAGCTAGCTTCCTGGAGCCAGGTTGTTCAGGACAGCCCTGCTCGCGGATTCAAAGAAGCTGGAAGCTGGGCAGTTGCCGAACAGGCCCCTTAGTATTGTAAAATTGATGGCATCAACTCCCTTGCCCAAGATGTCGAACTAATTAATTAAGTACCCTTCTATTTTAAACTGCTTCATTTAGGCTTGTCTTGGTTTTAGAATTTGATGTGCAATTAATTGGATGTATTATTCGTGTTTTTTGGGTTTCAAAACGGGGCAATTTAAAGTGTCATATCTTCTCTAATAAAGGTAGCAACAGAGTTTTGCAAGGATAAGATGCATTTTCTAAATATTCCAAAAGTCAAGAATTCAATGCTCACGAAAAATATTATATTGAAATCAATACCACATCATGCTTACGGGTAATTTGTCTGGACTCTTATTCCTCGGTATTAATTAGTTCTTATTTTTTCATAAAAATAATCAAATATATACTATACGGTCTCTTTGATTCAACACATTTTTAGAGAAAATCTTGAAGATTCAAATCCTTACAATTTTTTCTAAGTGTGTCGTTGGTTTTTAGGATTAAATCACGTAGGAATTCTTCTCAGGAATCCTTCCTACTACATTCGTACGAAAAGTTTCATCCACTCAAACTTCTTCCAAAGAATGCCTTGTTTTTTATGTGGTGCACTCAACCTAAACTTTGATCAAATTCAAGCTTTGTAGAATTGGGGTGGACAAGACACTGCCATAACACATTTTCCATGTTCTTGTGTATTTTAGAATCATGTGAATCAAATAGGCCCTAAAGGAGATGGTACTCGATTTTAAATATATAATAGCGTCCAAGTACTTATGTATGTTATGATAATATAATTGCTAATTAAATTACTTCATGAAGATGCTTTCCTTTTTGTATGACTTTCTGCCCCATTTCTCTTTTTCTTGTAAACTGTTAAATTAATTCACAACCACATATTAATGTACTTGCTAGCCCGAATAATGTAGGAAATGAAGATTCTTGCTTTTTGTAGGAAATTCTGCCATATTTTTATTTTCTAGGAAAATCTAAAATACATGTCCTCGTTGATTCATCTCTTTAGACCCACCTCTGCAATATCTTTTACTAGTGTAGAGTTTTTTTTTCTATAATAGACTAATAGATGTGGATATTTAGCCTCTCAAAATTCTTATATATCCTCCTTAGTACCCTCATTAATTAGTGATAAAACGTATGTGCACTTATGCATATACACTTCACATGATGAGCCCAAAATAAGGAATTAAAATGGAGTATATTGATATTATTTTCTTGCCGGCTTATAACTTTTCTTATATTGTATTGAGTTGTAACATGTCACACGTCTTATTAAGGTTGGATGTAATATAAACATGCCAAACTAGCGTATATCTACAACCTATAATAATTTTCCCAATATGTACCTTATGATCATTGGTTGATGTTAGCTCATATCTGCAACTTTTATAGTATTAGAGTTTAATGTATGTAACATGATTGAATATTTCAACAGGTACCTTATTGTAGTTGATGACTTGTGGGATCCACCTACATGGGATATTCTTCGATGTGTCTTTGCAGAAGGTGGTAATGGGAATACAGTAATTGTAACCACAAGAGTGGATGTTGTCGCTTGTAGGGCATCTCATGAGCACGATGGACACATTTATAGAATGAAGCCTCTCAACAATGAAGACTCAAAAAGGTTATTCTTTGGTAGAGTGTTCAGATCGGAAGATAGTTGTGCACCCCAATATGAAGAAGTTTCAACCCAAATTTTGAAGAAGTGTGGTGGATTGCCACTTGCAATTATAACTATATCTAGCTTATTGGCTAGCCGTCAAGCAAAATCAAGGAGTGATTGGGAGAGCATAATGAAGTCTCTGGGCACCAATTTTGCTACAGATCCTACCCTTGAAGGGATGAAGAATATATTAAACCTTAGCTACATGCATCTACCTCCTCGTCTCCGGGCATGTTTCCTTTATCTTGGTTTGTATCCAGAGGACCGTGAGATTCGGAGGGATGATTTGGCCCGACAGTGGGTGGCCGAAGGCTTTGTCAGTAGTGTTCCCGAGCTAGATTTGAAAGACGTTGCTAAGAGTTATTTCAATGAGCTTATCAATAGAAGTCTGATTCAGCCTGCCGAAACCATATATGGAGAGGTGACCTCTTGCAGAGTACATGACATGATCCTGGATTTAATCTTGAGCAAGTGTGCAGAAGAAAATTTTATGCATACAGCACACAGTTATGGAGAAATGGAAAAAATGCATAGTTGCAAGTACAAAGTCCGCCGATTATCTCTGAACTTGAGCGCAGGTGGCGCAACACCAGGGTCGACTCTTGCTACTGGCCTGTCACAAGTCCGATCATTTGCACAGTTTGGAGAGTCCATATATGCACCTCCTCTTGAGTCCTTTAAGCATGTCCGGGTGCTGGTATTTGAAGTGCCAGGTGAGAGAAGCAAGCTAGGTGCAATCTGCCACTTGTTTCAGCTGAGGTATTTGAAGGTTTCAGCAGACAGCGTAGAGCTTCCAGCAGACATTCGAGGGCTTGTGCACCTGAAGACACTGGAGATGAACTGCTGGTCTGAACCAAAAATCAGTTCAGATATAGTCCACCTGCCCAATTTGTTCAATCTGCGCCTTCCATACGGCACAGGGCTGCCTGAAGGGATCCGGAACATGACATCAATCCGCACCCTACGTTGCTCAAGCATGGAGAAGAGCTTGGTGGAGGATATTACAGGTCTGGGCGAGCTGACCAATCTGAGGAATCTATGCCTATCCGGGGGCTCTTTGACGGTGGAGGGGGTTGATGCTCTGGTCTCCTCAATTGGGAAGCTCCGAGACCTTAGGCAACTCTATCTCGGTTGCCGTCTTAAAGGCTATAACGACCAGCTGGGCTCGTTACCTGATCCTCCTTCCCGTCTCGAGGCGCTCAATCTGGGAAACTGGCTGTTCTATGTAGTTCCCAAATGGATCGGTGGTCTCCGTGATCTCAGGTGGCTCTCTCTGAACGTTGATGACTTGTCGAGTCATGAGCTGCGTATTCTTGGAGAGCTGCCCTCTCTTGTTCGTGCCTATCTGTCCGTTTCACGTATCCCCAAAGACAAGATCGTGGTCGGCTCAGGGTCATTCCCGGTTCTGGAGCACATTTCCCTTGATTCTGATGAAGATGTCGCAGCTTACCTGAGATTCGAGGCAGGGGCTATGCGCAGTCTACGAGTACTCGCTATCCGATACACAGTGGAGGGCTGGAGCGGCTGTACACCGGACGGCATGGAGCACCTTCTATGCCTGGAGCAAGTCAACGTACGTGTCTACGGCACGCCCACCACGGAACAAGTGGCACCCGATGTCTCCTCCGCGTACAGTAAGGCACTGGAGGTGCACCCGAGACGTCCTACCTTTGCGCTCGAGAGGTAGTTTTTTTTTACATTTTTTTGTGTGTTATATTTAAGCACTTTAAAATCTTATTGTGGGTACTAGCGATTTTGTAGTTGAGCTTCTTTGGCAACAACCTGATGCACTCTTTTTTTTTTTTGCTTGTAATCTTTTTTTTTCTGAAATCAAGGCAATTTTTTTGCCTCATTCATTAATTAAGAAAGAGGGTTTACAAACTTATTGCTCAACAAACGAGCACAACGACTTCAAACATACAAAGGAAAAAAATCACTCCCTCCCGGCATCATATTACTCAAGTGTTTTGCTCATGCGAGAACCCATATTTTAGCCTCCTACTTGATAAGCTTCAGGATGTTTAGTACGCTGGCGTTGATTTCTGATGCACTCTCGATCAGATTGTATGAAGTACTCGGTGAACCTGTTTGATAAACAGGAGGCTCCTGGTTCGCGGGTTGTCCGCCCAAACAATTATTACTTTCGACCGTGTGGTCAGAAGCATGCCGCCAGATTTTGCAAAAGGAAAAAAGAAAACGTCTGACATAACGGTTTGATAAACAGGAGGCTCCTAGACCTAGTTTGCAGTCATCCACACAACTTCAGACCGTGTCGTCATAAGCGTGCTTCAGAACAGTTTATTGTTCGATTTGTGCTGCAATCGCTAACACTGCTATGTTATATGTTTTTCTAGGGAGAAGTATATTTTTCGTTCCTTAACTCTTTCGAAAGTATAGGAATTGTCCTTCAACTTCAAAACCAGTAAAACTTAGTCCCTCAATTTCTCAAACCAGATAATTTTAGTCCCTCAACTTTTTAAACCAGATAACTTCAGTCCCTCATACCGTTTAGGGTGGTTTACGTCTAATTTGGACACGATTTTGACTAAAAACTTGACACGTTGTTCGGGTTTGTTCAGCGCCATGCTTAGTGGGGAGCATGATCAGCCCTGCCATTGCTGGGTCGGTGTTCATCGTCTTGTCCTGTAGGAAGAGGGAGGCGTCCCTGTGCAGCGGCCACAGGACGCTGGGGCACCTTGTCCCCGACGACCAGGCGTCGGAGTTGCATGTGACATGGTGCTGGTGATGCTCAGCCTTGTGGAGCTGCCAGCAAGCAAGCACGGCCGTGCACGTCCTGCACCTGTACGACACTGCGCGAAAGCACGCCCGCGCAGACATCGGCGGCGTCAAGTGCTACGCGATAGTCTGTGCGTGCTCTCGCCGATGCTCGTTGCCTTCTCGCCGCTGGTCAGTGCGAACCATGGGACCTTCTGCTCCTTTTCCAAGCGCGCCCGCAGATGCCGCCTTCGACCAGGACTCGTGGATGCGGCGCGTCGGCGACAATGACCGTGACCAAGCCGCGTTCGCTGCCGTCTGTAGACTGTGGCGTCGCGTGTCGAGCACCACCAGCACGGCTCAACCGCAACTCCCCGTGCGTGTGTTACTCGCATGTTCTCGCCGGAGAGGGGTCAACATCATGTACGTACGTGCGTGTCTTGCCGGCGATCATCTACTTAGATTTCACGTGAGCATCCAAAGCCAGCTTTGCTGGTACGTAAAGCTCGACCGCCATAGCGCCTGCTCCCCTGCCCGTGCTGGCCGCATGACCTGGATGGCGAGCATGGGGAAGGCCAGCACCCCGTGAGCCAGGCCACCATGGCCGAGCATGTACACGACATACAGTGCAGTCGCTGTTCGTGGTGTGGCAGTCTAGCCCGGACGACGTGTCATGTTTTTAGTCAAAACCGTGTCCACGTCGGATGAAAACCACTTAAAGTGGTACAAGGGACCAAACTTATCCGATTTAACAAGTTGAAGGACTAAGGTTTGCCGGTTTTAAAGTCGAGGGGCAATTTCTATACTTCCGAAAAAATTGAGGGACAAAAAATATACTTCTTCCGTTTTTTAATATGGTACAATCACATATGCTTTTTTATAAGGTATTTGGCCTGCCTAAGCATCGCCGCATTTCAGTCATTGCTAGGAGCCTAGCTCTGGTTGGTGAATTCCTCTATAAATGTAGAAAATAATCAGGAGTTTGCATGCCAACTATATTATCTTTTAACGGTCACATTTCTGAGTTCTTATAAATCAAGAGATTAATTATCTTCTAAGATGTATTTCTGTTAATGGTGCAACTTCACAGCACCTGTTTTGCTTCTTCAACAGCTCATTGTTGTTTGTGGAGTTCACAATTGTAACTGAACTAACTATGCCAAGGCCGAATTTTGGTGTAGTTATTGAACAACCAACCCCAAGTAAGAGCAACACTAGCCGTTCTCTAAAAAAATAGAGTATCTGACCGGGTAAACCTTAGTGGAGTATATTTACTACACTAAGTTTTGGTCGATTATAGCCGATCCTCTAAATTTAGCGGAGTAAAAAACTAAATTTGAATAAGGTTAACATAGATTCAATTTAAACAAACTTCTAAATCAAAATCCAACAGATAATTTATATTATCATGCGCCAAAACATAGTCTAAATTAAACCGATACTAAAACTTGAACTTAAACATAAACATAAACTTAAATCTAACCGGAAACTTAGTTGCTATCCGATTTTGCGAGGGACAGCCAATCCGTCCTAGAAATGCCAACTCCCACGGGGTCAAACCCTGTGCCATCATCGTCGCATCCGGGGAAGGTTCTTCACACTTCAATGTCAAAGCCGTCATCGTTGCTGCCTCCTCTGCCACCGTCATTGCCGCCTCCTCTATCACTGTTGTTCCCGCCACCACTACTAGGGAAAAGCCTATACACAGAATCTTACCAGCAGCGCGCTTTAAAATCAGGCGCTGCTGCTAAGTAGCAGTAGCGCGGGCCATGGAAACTCGCTGCTGAAACAAGTTTATCAGTAGCGCGTGCACTCCAAGAAGCGCTACTGCTAAAATTCCCACGACGCCGCCGCGAGGCCAGTTATAGCAGCAGCGCGTTAAAATAAACAGCGCTACTGCTACGTAACGTAGCAGCAGCGCATTCAGGCAATAATCGCTACTGCTAAATTAACTACAAAAATCAATGAGCATTCAGCACATTCAGTGTAACGTAGCAGCAGCGTATTTTTTATGTCTATGTCTATTTTTACATACTGACACATAGCAGTAGCGCGTTCAGGCCGAAAGGCGCTACTGATAGGTAGTTTAGCAGTAGCGCGTTTACCTATAGCGCGCTAATGCTATTCCTCCATCTCCCCCACTCACTAGCCTCATCCACAGATCACACTCACACACACTCACGGTCTCCTCCTCACCCCCCGCGCCGCCGGTCCTCCCCCGTCGCCCCTTCCCTGATCTGCGCCGCTGTCGCCTCATCCTCCTCGCTGGACTCGGTACCGGCCTCCTCCTCCGTCCTCCCTCCACTCGCCGCTGGCCGCCCCCTCCTCGCTCCGCCTTCCTCCTCGATCCGTCCTCCCTCCAGTCGCCGTCGGCCGGCCCCTCCTCGCTCCGCCTTCCTCCTCCGTCCTACTATCTTCTCCCTCCTCGAGTCGCCCCTCCTTGTCCCTCCTCCCTGATACATTTTGATTTAGTAGGCTTTCATATGTAACATTTTCATTTAGTTGATATGATTCAGTTGATTTAGAACATTTTGATTTAGTTTATTTAGTAGGCTAGTTGATTTAGTTGATTTAGTAGGCTAGTTGATTTAGAACATTTTGATTTAGTTAATTTAGTATGCTAGTGGATTTAGTATGCTAGTGGATTTAGTATGCTCGATTTAGTTTTTTTGTAATAAGTTATTTTTTGGCAAAATGTAGGTGCCAATTTAGTTAAATTTGCCACTTGT